GGTGCTGTTCAGGAAATTAAGTACAATATTTTTTTAAATGGCCATGAATTGGTTCCAAATTAACAAAGAAGAAAACATTTGAGGACAAATGTGTCATTGTAAGAATGCCCATGCTGCAAAATGTGAGTGGTTTGACCCTGCTTGTGTTCAATGGTTCAATTAAACAAAGAATAGTAGACACCCATGTTTGATGGTGGCTCAAAATGAAACAAACAAGAAATGTTAATCGATAGTGATGTATTTGACACAGGAGTCGTGGTTGTGTTTTGGACCTTTAGTTTACAGTGTTTCTGTGACTGTTACAATCTAGTAATGTTTTACTTTGATAAAGTTTGTAATTTTTTTTTATCAAATCCAATTTTCAGGTGTGTACTTTCTTTTAGACATGTTTAATAATGAACATAAGTGTACATGCAATGCAATAAGGTTTAAACAGCCTTAGGTTTTCAACGGATGTAGCAAAAACATTGTCCGGGGATTTATCTGCGAATATGTGTTTACTTGACAGATTATAATAGCGCTTTCAGTGTCTGATTTGGAATTTTGACGAAAGAACACGCGTTTTACACCTTTACAAGTTTAACCTTCCATAGGGTTGTAAATGCAGCAATGGCACCCGCAGATACCGCGATATTTCACAGACAAGACTTTGAACACTGGTAATTTAAGAATGTTTCCACCTTTGCGTAGTTGATTCCATTGCTGAGACTTCATGTTGTGGATAACTATTAAATATTTCAAAGAAAGAAGCTCTATCACCAATAAATAGGATAAAACGTTATGTGATTACACTGAAGAAGTTCCTGGATTTTAATATTTCATGCAGTTTCGTACTTCAGATGTTTTCGTTTCGTTTGACGAAAACATATCAATGTATAGTACATGTATGTGGAGGCCAAGGATGACGCTTGTGCTAACTATAAAACAGCGAAATGCTTTGCCTTACCCCGAACACCTGGTGTCATCACTGATTTTCAGTGATCCATTTATATAATTTTCGTCACTTGTTTGCCTTTTTTCCGACGTTGACGTTATATATTTTATAATCGACATTCAAAAGTATATAATCTCTATCACAATCTGTTGTGTTGTATTGTCTGTTTTATCGGATTGACTGATGGCAATGGAACGACTAAAATGTAGAACGACCTTAAGTACCATTTATGAGAGACTGATGAGAGACGTTCCTCAGACACATGTAGACTGGACTGCGTTTAGTGGTGATTGACGTCCGTTTTAATGATCGGTTAATACATAGAACTGAAACATCAATATGACAAACGACCATACGGGCTTGGGTTCCAGCAATAATTGCAGTTATTTATGGAAACAATGGCGAATAAAAGATACTGATACAACAGAGTCTCGCCAATATGGACTCCTGGAAATTCAGATTCAGAAATTCCAGTACTTCAAGGTGTGAATACATAATACTTTATCCGTAAAGTCTTAAACGATTTCGCCATTATAATAGTAGTTCGGAATCGTTCCAGACAAAACACTATTAAATCAGTCAACTCAACTTTACAACGTTTTATTTCATAAACCGAAATAAGTACATGTATGAAGACTACTATTGTTCTTGAATTTGGATTTCTGGAACCCATAACATAATTTGAAACATTATTTATCTTTAAACGTTGGAAAACATTGATACTTTTATCTCAATTATACTTTAACAAATGAGATTTAAGCGTTTCTTTTACAAAATGTGATTGGTAATGCTAATATGATTCACATTTCACGCATGAGCGTGGATCTTTGCATATTTTGTTTTTTTACTGGCTATGACGTTTCTCTTCGAAATTTAGCTTTGCAATTGTTTGCGAGACTTTAAATATACTCAACAACAAAAGTTCCTGTGACACCAATATTTTAGTGTGTTTTTCAAACAAGTAAAGTTTGGTTTTCAATATTGTAGTACATGTATGGAATCAAATCACAAAAATGCAACTGCTGCAGAAAAGCATTCCATGCAAAAGTTGACTTTTATGCAAGCCCCATGCATTTCACTACCCAAGAATTGGTATAAAAACATGTGCGTTAACAGGATTCCATATGCATTGTTTAGCATCGTGCTGACAACAACCACTCAGAAAAACAACAAAATTAAGCAATTATTCAACATTACGAAATGCTACGACTGTCGAAAATGAACGTCTGCGAGCCATTGGTCTGCTTGACGGAGAATCGAGTCAACGTGATGTTGCAAGACAATTTAACGTCCACAGAAACACCATTTTGTGTTTATGGCAACGTTGGCAACAGACGAATGCAGTCAGAGACCATCCTCAGAGTGGCAGGCCACGCGTAACCAATAATCGACAAGACAACTGGATTCGAACAACTACGAAATCGATTCCAGCCAGCAACAAATGCTGCAAGCAGCATCCCTGGCCTTCGACGAATATCTTCACAAACCGTACATCGTCGCCTCAGATGTGCAGGGATTGTCGCCAGAAGACCCGCCAGACGACCCATTTTGACAGGAAACCACCGTCAAGCACGTCTACAGTGGTGCAGACAGCGTCTACGCTGGACGGCCATGCAGTGGTGACAAGTTCTATTCACTGACGAGTCTCGTTTTCACCTCGGCCACAGCGATGGACGGATTCGAGTGTACCGACGTCGAGGTGAATGTTACGTCACTCATTGTGTTTTGGAAGAAGATCGTTATGGTATGGGGTGGGATTACAGCAAGACAGAGGACCCGCTTGATAGTGGTAAAGGGAGATCTCAATGGACAGCGCTACCGCGACGAGATCATCGGCCCTGCTGTTCTACCGTTTTTGCGTCGTCATGGCCCAGGCATTACCTTTCAACATGACAACGCCCGGCCTCATATTGCTCATCCCCTGGCCGGCTAGCTCCCCTGATCTCCTACCAATCGAGCACATGTGGGATGAGATGGATCGGCGCCTTTAACGTCAACCACGTGTTCCACAGACACTTCAGGAACTTCGAAACATGCTCCAGCAGATATGGACAGATATCCCACAGGACTTTGTGCGACGCCTGGTCCCTTCCATGAGACGAAGATGTGTTGCTTGCATCGCAACCAGAGGTGGACACACACGCTATTGATTTGTAAATTGACATTTTGGCATGTTCATGTTTTTTATTATGAAATCACGCATTTTCTGAAGTCAGTATGGCAAATGTAACCATTTGAACACTTACAGGTGTCTTTTATCTGTTGCAAACCGAAATTGTTTCAGATTTGATAAAAATCATAACTTTGCATTAAATCTTATTCAATGTCACAGGAACTTTTGTTGTTCAGTATATGTATGGATGCAGTTACATTAAACAGAAGCTGTCCAGAATATTTTGATTAGATTAGTCCCTTGAGACTTGATCTGATTTTGTTACTGTTGGAGATTTTATTTTCTGATGTAAAACCTATTTTTTCAAGCTGAATAAGGAAATTAATTCTGACCTGTATAATCTGTTGCTTCTGTGTGCTGGGCTCGTGATGTATCTTGTCATACAACAATAGCAACAGTCCAGTTATATCACGGCGGGGAAAACCATGTGGGAAATCGAACCTAGACCTCGCGTGACGAGCGAACGCTTTAACCACCAACCACCCAACCACCCAAGTTGTTGGATAATATATGGTTCTATACCCTAGGTCAAAATAGTCCATTTAATGGTAAATTATAACTTACTCTAAATCCATTAAATTTGCACACCCAACAGCAACTCTGTTGCAACCGAGGGACTAATTATAATAGAAAACACTCCTGTTGAAAAAGTGCAGAAGTCTATTTAGTGATCGCGTGTTGGTTGCCTTTCATTGACGTGTATTGATGAAAGTACACTTTGGGAAACTCAAGCCCTACCTTCATCACCTAGATTTGCATATGGTGGTCAGCTTAGCGGTGACACCGCAATCACTCAGAAGAAATTAGGCGTGGGAGATTTGGGAGGGTTTATAAATCAATGAGGGACACCGAACTCCAGCCTGAACACAGTGATTGTCTAACGTTTCACGGTATTACATTGATTATAGTAAATAGTGTTGCTATTCTTTCTGTTCACGAAGTATCTTTATTTACGTCGGAAGGCTCGCCACATCTTGAATTATGTTTTGTCAGTGATACATTGCGGAACTGATTCATAGCTCACGCATGCAATTATTCCCGCCAAAGAAGTATATTCAGCTGTGTGGCGTTATGTATCTTGTATTACAGCGTTTTCTGTAAATTGCTGTGACGGTAATAGCTTATGCATGTTCGTCAACTAATTATGATGGATTGCGTTGAGTTGGTTGCAAAACAGTGTGCCGATCACGAAACGTTTTTCAAGTCCAGTTCATTCAAGGATATAGTTACATATCTATCTTCAGGATAATTTGTCCAAAATGAAAACAAATGCCGTCTGAAGTTTACAATGAAAACCGTATGTGAAATGTTGGACTTCCCCATTGAGATCATCCATGCACACGGGGTAAGACATTCAGGCAAGAAGTAGGCATCCCCGTGAGCACCAGCTGTGCTCCTTTTTTAGCTGATCTGGTACTTTATACATATGAATTGGAATTTCTACACGGATTTGTCAAAACAAGAGAACTTGGGCAGGAAGTTCAACTTAAGCTTCGATCCATATTCCAGCAGCTCCATTCCTGGAGGTTGAAATTTCATTATTTTTGAGGCACAATTGAGCGTGCTCTTCCTACGAAGATTTCAAAGAGCGTCTTACGATGTAATTCTCTTTTTTACTTGTACCATGTACCCTTCTTTCCAATGTTTGTTGAGGTGAACAATTGACTTGCTTTTGCATGTGTTTGTGACGGGTTCCACCCCTGGGACATGATAAGATCACGTTTCTGCAAACACCTGGCGTCATCATTATTTGATTGTGATTGATAAACACATGCTCATGATGGGCACTGTTTTAGCAGAGATTTCTTATGGATATGGTAAGGGTTTTGTTACTTTTATTCATTAGAATGTTCACAACACACTAAAGATCATGCTTTATCATGTCATGAAGTTTATTACATTTTCTTAGCGGTTGCAGTCGTGTTCAAGACCCTGCCTTTTCGTCTTGAACACTGCTGCCCACCTCTTACAGTCGAAAATGAAGGAGGATCATCTCCTAAAGTTGACACCATGTCCGCATGAATAATTGTTAGCCCTTTCAGTTGGAGATGCTTGAAAACTATCTGCAACAAAGAAAACCTAGTTGATTGGTGACTCCAGAAATGTGTTGCCAGGTTGCATATTTGGTTCAGTGCAGGCTTTATGCCTGGAAAGTATTGTAGTTTATACAATGTCATGCAAACTGTTAAGGGTCTGCTTCACATCCTTTATTATAAGGCTCAGGTCTTTTCAGCCACCCTTCGTACTATTCCCACACCTCCGGATACTACTTTTTCTACTTCCCCAAGGGGGGCACGGGTGGCCCAGTAGTCTAAGGCGCCGCGATTCGCTGTGCAGAGTTGCGTCCCTTGGGCACGTCAGAAATCTATGTTTGTGGGTTCGAATCCCGGTTCACCCCGATAATGTTTCTAGGTTTGTCAGCACCAAACCCGTGCTCGTAGGTTTCACCGAGGTGGTAAACGACTGAGACCTGCATCACTTCGGACTTTCCTCCCACATTAAGCTGACACGCCGCGATATAACTGGAAATATATTAAAAGCGGCGTTAAATCCAACTCACTCACTACATCTCAAAGGCTGATGGTGCATTTGGTTACTTACGAAAGTCATGCACTTTGTCACTTACGTTAGCAATAATATGCATGTGTGTTCAAAATTATTGTATTTCCGAATGCGTTCATGTGGAGATTACTTGTATGTAGTATGCTTCTGCTTTTGGTTGGAGAAAGAAATTACAATTTTCACGGTAATTCAAACGCATATTCATGTACTCTTCCGCTGCAGTGCATTCGGAACATTGTAACACTTTATGGATTCAGGCAAATAGTTTGAAGGCAGAGATCGCAGTTTAATAAATAAATAGATTTGACAGGATGTTGTTGTCAGCTTCAATTTAAAATAAATTAGCATGCATAGTTCTGTAGAGAGTATATAAACAACTGGTCTGGTACCTGCCAATCTTGTGATTGAACATAAGCATTTTGAAATCTACTTTTAAATAACTACCATATTATAGTAATACGCATAATCAACACATAACACGACAATGTGTATAGACAAGTAATGATATATAACTTAGCCAAATATTCAGTTTCTTTGGGTTTTTTAAACCAATTCAGCCCCATACCTTATTCATATAATGCACACTTTCATATCGTTTTGTTATATTTGCATGGCAGATTTGATTATTGTTTTACATGCTCTTTCGCAGGGAAAAACACATGATTCAAAATATTCTTCAAATATTCAAGGGTAGCTAAAAATAAATTTCCCAAATATCATTATTCGCTGTATTTTAATGTTCCATTATCTCATATAAAATTTCATGTTACAGCAGTTATGCACTGGTATAAAATATTTTTAAATCTGCAATCCAGAAATGTCGACATCAATTTGATTCCGGATCGAGTCATGATTGGGCACTTTACTTTTGTAAATTCAGTACAGTTTTTCTTTAATGTCGGTGATAATGTATTGAGTTTAAATATTGATCTGCAAATCCAACAACATCCCAAGTTATTAAATTTGATAATGACATAAAGTTATCTTTCATAAAAACAATTTATGAAAAACGAATGTAATCCACGTGGAAGGTTTCTGTGGCTAGCAATGAATACACGCTTTGTTGTAAAAACTCGTCATTTTGTGATGCTGTATGGAAGCGCCTTTGAGGGATCGAAATAAAATTGTACTAATATCATCAACTTTATTCACGGTACCGTAAATGAGTTAAATGTAGGGTATAAATTGACATTTTATTAGATTACTGCCTCAGGTTTTCTGGAACGAAGAAACAGGTTTACGTCCAAATCAGATATAAATATCGATAATAGCTCATACCACCAATTAGCTTCCAGATGATTGTAGCATAAAAGAGGCCGACTTGAAAACCAACACATAATAAAAAAACCTCAGCTTGTTAAGCGAAGCAGAATGTAACCAACAAAAAATAAATATTACAATCGTTACTATTGATACCTTATCCAGGTTGTGTGACAGCCCTGCGAGTCCCGAGTCAGTGACGGAAACAATGGTCACAGGTGAACTAAACCTGGTGCTTGAAAACGCACTCATTTCAAACTGATTTCAAACCACGTATGATCCTATTGGGGGGTTACTAGATGAAGCTAATTAAATCGATATTCTAATGCCATGAAATCAACCGCACATTGACGAATTTTTACATTGGCGTTTGTATTATACAACATTCTAATTTCATCACAAATGACATTTTGACAGAATTCATGAATTGAAATGTGAGTGCAGAATCAACTACTGTAGATGTTTTGTAACTGACACTTTCTAGTGAGTGCAAATGTCATTTCAGCTAAGCATTTGTTTCTTTCAACATTTTTCAAGTGAGATAATTTAGGAACAATGATGTTTTGCATTTGTTACTCAATAGAACAAGAACGGATATATCAACAATCAATCTTGATATTCCTAAACTACACATCTTCTTGGAGATAGATTGTTGATTTCTGTAAATTGGAATACAGCACAGGTAAAATCCGGGAATGTGATGCATACTTGATATGATTTCTTTGATGCAAAATACTAATTGGTTTTCTTCGTCGTGCAGCAAATGGAAAACTAATATGGGTATATTTCAGAAACGCATGCATATTCAATAAGGATTCCGTGAGTGAATTATAACGTGACAATTGCCTTTGACAAAACGTAGGAGGTATTTTATGAACCGGCAGTGAGCAAATCGTTTTGCTGGAAGGCAATTTAGCATTATCTTTCAAAATTACATCCATACAAAATTTGAACAAAGAACATTATTCAATTCTTTTTTCAAATGATTTTAACAAAAGCCAAGAAAAAGGTTTAACATCAATACAGCCATCCAAAAATGATTGGAAGCCAACCTCGCGTTGACGTGTATATAATTAATGTATTTATTATTTTGATTATTATTCTCTCACAAGGGTTTATTCTTAAATAATAAGGGCTTAATGGAACACTTTTCTTCAGCGTTGTGTTGCAGGTATGAAATGGGCATGGGATTGGAAAGAGAAAACGTATTATCGTCTTTGAAATAAGATCGATCTTATCCGAAGTTGTGTTTCATAATCTATGGTGCATGTACATTGACAGGTAATTGTTGCGCCTTTGTCGTCATTGCTGTTGTATGGCCTTCTCGGCATATACATTAATTAAACAATACACAAGTTCAGTGTCAGGGTTAATGGTTTAATTTTCCACGGGATGAGTGAGTGAGTGAGTTCGGTTTAATGCTGCGTTTTAACATTATTAATATCACGGCGTGTCAGCTTAATGTGGGAGGAAAGCCCGAAGTGATGCAGGTCTCAGACGTTTACCACTTCGGGGAAATCCACGAGCACGGGTTTGGTGCTGACAAACCTAGAAACATAAACGGGGCGCACCGGGACACGAACCCACAATAATAGGTTTATGGCGTGTCCAAGGGACGCAACTTTGCACAGCGAATCGCGGCGCCTTAGACTACTGGGCCACCCTTGCCTCCCACTGGAATGAAACAATATTAGATACATCGAGAGTATTAGCGGAGGATGCTGACCTGTTGTAAACATACTATCTAGAACAGAATTTTTTTTTTGTCGCTAGAATATGATAATTACTGTACCGAAGGGGGCACGGGTTGGCCAGTCGTCAAAGACGCCGCTAATCACTGTGCAGAGTTGCATCCCTTGGGCACACAAGAAGCCTATGAATGAGGGTTCGAATTCAAATTGTGTTTCAAGGTTTGTCAGCACCATACCCGCGCCGTGCTCGTGGGATTCATCAAAGTGGTAAACGTCTAAGACTGGATATGATATTTGTTACTGATGAGTCAAGTTTGGAAATACCTTCACCTTGGATGAGGCCTAGGAAGTTGTAACTTTGATCAAACACCTTTTGTGCAAGAGTCGCATGAAGTTCTTTGAAACCTTGTAACTTTACATTCAGCGTATGCGTTTCTTATATTATGCGAAATGATTTAATTTGCAGCAGAGTTTGTGATATACTTCGGGATGTGTGACCACATCATATTTATCGCATCGTTTATCTGATTGGCTATTTGATATTCTAGGGGATCTGAGATTTTGTGAGACCAGATAATTTGTTTCAGCTACAGCTGCAAAACCAGATATTTTTTTATTAAAGCTATGAGTCGCACAAATAATTGGCACAATGTTATTTTTTGTGGCAGATATTTTCTTTTTTACAATATGAGGCAGATCTATGTTTTTCAAGATATTTCGGGGACAATTCATTTTTTTCGATAAAATCACAGCCGGATTTTGTATCGAGATTATTAGATGTGCCTTTTAAGCTTCAGCTCCAAAAGTATGAGCCTGAATTCTTTTGAAAAAAAACCACCTGCAACAATCTAATTTTTGTGGCACTCAATTTCCACCATTATCAATGGTCGGTTCCGAAGAAGTTGATAGTGGTTTATGTGTGCGTACATAAACAACCAGGGTTACAACCAACAATGTCTCAACGAATTTGTAGATGTGGAAAAGTATCAGTGGAATCGTGCCATCCAGTCTACCTGAAACTGTACCTGTAGCTCGGCGTGTTTGTTTCTTGCCCTGCACATCTTCACTTTGAATAGGTTCCCAGTTGTATCACCGAATCTCAAGGAAAGTGCCAGAGGGAGGTTGCAGGCATTTATCAGTTAAAAACTGATACGCGATGATCATAATCTGGAATTCAAACCTGCGATCCGTAGATCGGCCATAGCCCGCGGATCCTAACACATCTAAGGAGAGCAATTCTGCACAGCCGAGTGCCACACTTTAGACCACAGGGTCATCCTGCGCTATTTCACTTTGAAAAATATCGATTTCCCTCTGAACCCAAGACTCTGAAGGTGAGGTAAAACATGGTTTAAGGTCGCGTTCAAAATTATTTCACTTACATACTGACGTGCATGCACGTGTGTTTGTGGTTGCTTTTACTTTTTCGGACGTATGCCAGCTTTGTAATGTCATCCCACTGAGATACCATGCCTTGGATACCCTACTCAGACACACCATTCTTACACCGAGCCTACAAATCCTTGTTTTATCCCCTCTCTTCGGAGCCAGGCAAGGAAACAACAAGTACCATCTTTTGGTATGACGCGGCCGGAGGATCTAACCATCGACCTTCCGCTCCCCGGGCAGACGCTCCATCCACTAGACCACGGAGACCAAGAGTCTGAAATGAAAATTCACTATAATCGCACCTGAGTAAATCGATATCACTGAGGATCAAGGATTCAAGAAACACAATATAACTTTCAGTTCTAAAACATAGTTCAATATTACAGCTCGGGATATAGCACCGAGGTACATATACATTGTACTCAGTTCATTATGCATCAACAGTTCGTGTTTCAGTGATAAAGAAACAACTTATTCTTGCATCAACTCAAACGAAATACATTTGCATGGTGTTCAAAACTATGTTTGTTTAATTAACATATATAGTTACTCTGAAGACATTTACATTCCACAATAAAATATGTTTAAATAAAAAACATTCCTTTCAAGTGACACAAAAAAGTATAGTATATCTAATTCATCCCGGATCCGCGATGTTTCTTAACAGATACACACCTCGTTCATTATTGTTGCAACTGATGAGAATAGCATCATAGCTCAAGAAATAGGACAAATGCCAGGAAGCGGTACTCGATGTCCTTGAAAGAGCATCTGTTGATGTATTTATCCAATGAATCAAAACAACCATGAAATGAGTCAATCTTCAGGATGTAGAACTATAATTTATCCCGTCTTGTATGTAATCCATGCTTCATCTTAATAACCACATGTACTGTAACACAGGCGTATATTTTTCCTGAGTTTTCCTGCATATTTCTCCTCACCTCTAATACCGTATTACATATTTAAGCAGGATGCCATTTATGTATTTTACGTTTTTCATAACGCATAACTAATTTGTTTTGTCTTTTATATTCAAAATAATACAATGTTGTTAAAATGCAGTTATGAGTTATTTCATTTATGATTAAATGAAACTATCCGATCTTTGTTTATTTATTTACTTTTTACATTTATACCGGATTTCTATACTACATATAAAGTATTTCTGCATAATCGTGGGCGTTCGGGTAGCCTAGTGGTTAAAGCGTTCGCTCGTCACGCCGAAGACCCGGGTTGGATTCCCGACATGGGTACAATGCGTGAAGCCCATTTCTAGTGTCCCCCGTCGTGATATTGCTGGAATATTGCTAAAAGCGGCGTAAAACCATACTCACTCACTCTCTCTGCATAATCGTATCAGGAAGAATCTCATTTATGAGGCAAGATCGGAATCTATTACGATGTCTTGATCCACGGATTTGCTGACCAATGAATATAAATCTTGAAAAGCAAATGATTTAATCCAAATAACCAGCGCCCGGAACTTAAATAGCCTGGAATAACCAAAGGGGGACCACTCAGCTACAATTGATGTTGATCGAGAGATCAGTGTAAAATTGATTTGGCGTCGGTATGGAATCCTGGAGGTGAACTGAGGCGAAATGGACTTTCACGTCGCGTTCAAGATTATTGCACTTATATAGCGACGTGCCTGTGTGTCGCAGGGGCATTATTTCAGTGTATGTTTGTGCTTGTTCCAGTTTAAAAGTGCTCGCCCACTGATATACCATGCCGCAGTTTAACATGAATACCCCACTCAGACACAGTACACAGACTCCAATGCCGACAATTCATTGTTTTACCCCCTCTATGCCGAGCACCAGGCGGGGTACAACAAGTACCATTTTTACCGTCTTTTGGGCAGACGCTCTATCCACCAGCAATACCACGGAGGCGGTTATGTGTGTACACACATGTATGGATCCTAAAAGGAACATTGCATCCGATTGCAATGCATTATGATTCAAAGGTTTCGAAATACCTAGGAATTTGGTTATACATCATTCTCATTTGCACACGTCGCCCTCCAGCGTACAGCAAAATTCCACAGATATTTCTGCCTGTAATAATTATTGAACAACGAAGCCCAGCTTCAACTTATGAGAGGTGCCCACTCCTTAATGTTCAAAGAGCTCTTTATAGAGATGCATACACCCTTAACCTATCCTGCAAAATTCTTTTCACGTTTGTTTCAGTTTCATTTTGCTATTTTTGCTTCCTTGTTAATAGTCATATATTCTTTATATTACTTGAAGTGAAATTAGCGCGTTTTCTAACGTCGCTGTTCTTAGCGACAAGCGTCCGCTTCCTATATTACATTATGTGGCAGAAGAGAATGCTGTCGTATATTTTCCGGGTAGTGTGATTTAGAGTTACCTCTCTTGGCTGTTGACAAACATGACAGTCTCGATTGTTCAAGAAGTTTCGGTATGGGACAATTTTAGAAGGCTGTCTGTACCTAAAGCGACACGAGGACGATTCGAGGCCTTTTATGGCATTCCGTCTTGCCTGCTTACCATGTGCAAAAGTGCCTGTTTGAAAACACCGAATTCCTGCCGGCTTTGGAAGCTGGTCCGGATTCCATAACGGACATAACCCTTTTTCGGCGCATTCATATATTCACTGACATATTATGGAACCTTACATATTATTGCTGCTGCCAGTTGTTTGCGTAACCCTTTGTGTTTGTAAACATAGATCTGAGTTTTCAATGTGGTTTGTGAATTACTCATTGATCTTGTGTGGTCATTTACCGATTTCACACTTTGGTTCTGCGCGAGCCGATTCATAAATGGAGCATTGCGTTTCAGTTTGAAAATTAACTCGTAACAACACGTACACTACTGCTCAGAATTACCTACCTGTTATCCACTGGGCCAGGCCGATTCGCAACAGTACCGGGATATTTTTGCGGATTTAATGCGCTACGTATGCACAATTAAACCACTGCGTATACGTGGTATGCGGACATTATCGCGGCACTGTTTCCAGTTGATCCTTCGCCATACAACAGCTGATGATTAACGATGATCGGATGATGAGCTCCGTAAACCACAAACATGAACGTACGCTCTGTGCATGAGAATGTACATGTAGTTGTAGGTGTGGCTTCACATCGAAGTAGTATATCCCCACAACACGGCTCTGATTACATGTGGGGCGGTGGGGTAGTCTTGTGGTTAAAGCCCCCCCCCCCCCCCCCCGTGATATTGCTGGAATATTGCTAAAACCGGCGTAGTGTCATACTCACTCACTCTGATTACATGTAGCTATTCACCCAAAGGTGCACATATGTATATTCATATGAAAGTTACCTTAGAGGACCCTCATGGAACCTTATATACTATTCAAAGAAGTTCAAAGAAGGACACCCGATTCGTTCATAGACCCCATTCGAAAATTATATGCTACTCAAAATAAGTTAAAGAAGACCCGATTCTTTCATATGACTTTAGTTAATCTGTCATAGTAGACAGAACGCTGACACGAAAATTAACTTTAGTAATATGAAATAATCGTGTCTTTAACTTCTTGTGGTTAGTATATATGGTAGTAGTATGTATATGACCATCTAAATTGTCATCAGACACCGTAAAACGTCCATACATGAGAACTATAATTGACGGTGTCGTGAAATGTGTGAGCTTGCCCTACAGGAATAGGACAACGTACCCAATTAACTCAAATGTTAATAACCATAGCCTCTAGAAAATATAAGGTCCGTTGTACCGTTTGCAAGACTGAAATGGGTCACGGTTTGTCATAATTAGTATTGGGCCTTTCTGTTCGTGTTTCGTCTTATACCGACTGTGTATACGTACTCGTCCCTCGTGATAGCAACCGAGGTTTTTTCCAGTTGCAGACCCGAATAATGGTGTCAAATGATCGATGCATCTACATGTGTACTAAAGCTATGAAAGAGATAGGGATGGCCCAGTCATCTTATATAAGGCTAATCTAAGGCATTTCGCTTTGTAGGGTAAAATTAGGTCTTTTGGCTTGCCAGAAACCTATAGCGTGGGTTTGATTCCAAAATTCGCCCTGATTGTTTCTTCGTTTATCAGCACCATGTCTGTACCAGTGGGTTTCATAAAGTGCTCAACCTCTTAGATCTGCAGCAATTAAGGCTTTCCTCCCACATCAAGCGACACGATGTGATAAAACAGAAGTACGCTCTGAGGGGATTAATCACCCTCACTCACTTGCTATGGCATGCTCACTGAACCTTATACTATTCTTCCATTAACAAACAATCTTAGAATAAAATTTGAACTATTTTGAAAATTATATCTTTAATCTAATCCAGTGTTCATAATCCTTGTTCTCAGAAAACAGGATAACTGTACACTGAATATGACAAGCATGTATTCACTTTACGTACAAAGTATTGATAATTTTACAAGGCAAAGTGAAAAACATTACAATCGATATTCAGAAAAAACTCCCCTGTATAAACATCGATTGTTGCAACACGTTTCAATAATAACTAAAACACACTGAAGTACATCCACAAAACATTTATGGATTTCCCCGAACCCCAGCTGTGCAATGGTCGAAGAATTCTGATCATAAAAAATCTTCCAAAACTCCAACGAAACGTAACCGATGAGGCATTATTCTACTTGAAAAGAATAAGAATTGATCAAGTGTGGGTTGGTGAATGTCTATGGCAAATAGGTTCCGTATCAACGTGACAAATACTCAATACTGAAATAATCCATCAGTACATCTGACAATAACATACTTTACCTGATATGTGGCATTAAAAAAACCCAACAAATAATGTCTACACATATTTCGGCTTAAGACAGCTGAAGTAGTTGAACAATGTTCACCATATGGGAACTAGCCTCTTGATAACAAACAAGATAATTATGCATACGTTCCAGCAATAACGCGTCTCGATAGGCACTTGGCTTTCTATCCACAGTGTTATGCAGCCCGCCAAGGCCAAGATAAACTCTATGAAGCCCACAACACGGTACTTCCCTATTTCAGCAAGCTTCGCGATGGTCTGTAATCTCTGTTTATTGAATAAACACGGCGATTATAACGACCAGATGTTAACGTTATCCGGGATAAAATATGTGGACTGGCTTGTTGTTGCATTGAAGGAGTTTATTAGGTGATTTGGGCACATGTTTGCGAACTTGAGACGGTCTCCCTGGTCAGCTCGGAGATTTGTTACTGGAACCACTTCATATTGGGTTTGACATGTTAAGGTTAAACAGAGTCATTTGTATCTTTCTGAATGGCATGTGTGTTGGTTCGATGTCAAGTGAAGAGATTTAAATCATTCATTTATAGTTAAACCCAATTGCAAACCGGTATCAAATTTCCATGAAATTACATTCCATCAACTTGACATTTGAGGAATATTTTTGTGTTTATTTTCTGCAAATAAACCTCTAGAATACTAATTGACACCAACACTTCATTCTTAAATTGTCTCGAATATTTCAAAGAAATAGATGTACCCTTTGTTCATTAAACCTGGATTGAGGAGAAAATAGCTGTCAATTTGTAAAGACGTTTTAACCAATAAAGGCATGATCAGCTGGCCTGCTTATTATCATCTATCCAGTATGATGAGATTGGTTTGGTTTTGAACATGGCCTTAAAAAGTAAACGAAAATGTACCGTTCATAACATAATATCATGCACACTCGCCTGTGTAAATCCCCTATTAATATTTTAATCATTAACTAATGTTTACTGATGAATTATACATGTTCATTTGGTGATGAGGACAACGTGAAATATGGAGACCCAACTGACGTATTAACTCCCAATTGACATATCCCTTTATACGGTGAATTGAGTTAAGGTTAAATAGGGTTTAGCGTCGCGTTTAATATCATTGCAATTATATAGCGACGTGCATGCACGTGTCTATGATGCCGTCGTATCCCAATGCTCATGATGTCAATCACTGTATTGTCTGGTCGAGAGATACCATGCCACAGTTTGACATGAATTTCGTACTCAGACATATTACAATGACTCGAAAAGTCCTTGCTGTTATCCCCCTAGCGCCGATGGCCATGCAGAGTAACAGGGTCTTTTGGTATGACGCGACCATGGATCTGAAACCTTCCTCTCTTCGGGCAAACGATCTGTCCACTAGACCACTGGCATGTAAAAAAAAGGATTGGCTGACAAGATGCCTGCCTTCTTAGTGTCATAGCGAGAGTCGCACTGACGTTTGTTTATAATCAGAATATTAGTTGTCATTTCTTCCTGTTGAAAGCACAGGGTGGCCTTAGCTGTGACACTTAATGGGGTGCTATGCCAAATCTCTAGTGCCCATTCCTTGTCTAGATTTCCTTGTTGTAGGAAGTGCGATGCCTTGTTTGAAATTTATAAATTTATTTATGTTTACTGAATTGTTAATACAAATTGAACCAAACCTTTTCCGAATTAATTTTCAACGCGAACCAAAACATAATAATTGTTTTTCTTTCTCTTGTCCCGCCTGTGGTAGGTTTGTCATCAATACCAATCTGCACTGAACTGCTCGAAATACCAGGAAAATAGTGTTGTGAAGAGTAGTGCAAACCTGCAGACACCTCATTCAGCTTCGTGAGCACACGTAGGTGTCCCCGATACAACGTGTGAAGCTTAATTAACCCCAACCAACATCCTCTTATTACATGTCCTGATTTCCGTAGGCAGCCCGTCTCGAGTCTCATGAATTTTACATCGGGATACACAATGAACAATGTTAAATTAGTCGTTGAAGATGGAATCGTTCTCGCCATTTCCTTCTTCAGTGTTTACATTAAACACGCATGATGGAACTCAGGGCGGTTTAACTCATAGGAAAATGTAACTACATGTATGGTAATATAGAGTTCTTTATAGTTAAACGAAAATAACAATTATGGTGAATGATTATGATGAATGAATCATTATGAATAAATGATTATGCATCATTACGACGACGATCCCAGTTGTGAGATCTCATGTGAAAAGTTATTTCATTGAATGTCCATATTCCAACATACTCATGAAATTAACTCATGCTTGAACGAAAAACATTGGAAATTAGTAAATATTGTATACGTGTATTTATACATGTATGAAATGCGGAGCTTCCTAATTTGTCTTTGAAAACTTCTATTCTCAAAGTATTTGCAATCATTTATCTCCATAGCGAAGGTATTGAGGAAGCAAACTCTGTATGTACTTCTGAAATTATCTTTTTGTACATAAGTTAGGGTTTCTGCTTAAGAATGAACCACAAAGATATACGCTTGTTACCAAACACTTGTGATATTTGTGACTGAAAAGCGTGTTTGATTTTATGTAAAACAAACTATCTAATGTTCAGTATTTAGTGTAAGCCAAATGGTTTTCCGAAAGTTTCATTGTTGCAGGTTTGTCCCACTAGAATAAACAAAAAAAGATGGTGTCTATTTCACAAATATAACCACTACCACATTTCACGATTAAGTAACCCCTTTAAGAAGCTGAATAGACATCGGAACATATACCTCAATGCAGAGAGTGCAATTCAGAACATGAATAATGTCAAATAAACCTAAAGATAGTCTATCTGTACAGCAAGTGGACAGGCCCGCCTCTCCGTGAACTGCTGCCAACCCTGGTCTTGCTGCTCAGAAGGTGTGTTATCATCAGCAAAGGCAGCGACTCATTTATTGACAGTTCCTCTTTCTACTGCAGCGTTCCACAGTTCGATAGTCGCATCTCCTTTCTGCTCTTCGCAGCAGCTTATCTCGGAAGGGAGACAGCGGAACGCTTGCTGTAGGATTTACCATTAAGCTCCCTCCATCCATTCTATCAAGTCTAGTAATGAACATTGCAACCAATCTGGACTAACACGCAGACCGATAGTGAATGGAGTGTGAAGATTTGAGGAGGGATTTCTCTGATGGTATATTTCACTGTCGTCGTCAGCTTAGGTAAGCGCCTTTGTCATAGTGGCATGCACATTGTGTTTAAGTTTGTCTATGTTGCAGGTGCATGTCATATGGACTTAATCCAGCTTCAGTGATGATGTTTCAAAGCATCAAATTACCATGCAGCTTGTACTTTGTAATGCTTGTCTCTTCAATTTCCTTCTCAGTACATATCGATCTACAAAGTTTTAGTATCCGTAGCGTTGTTATGTGACACTATCCATTTAACTTCCATACTCTGAAAGTTTCTTTGTATCAAAGACACGTCATAATGCTACAGCCTTGAAAAGTTTGTTCTTTTTGGATCCTCTTCAGACAAAGTGAAATGTCAACTTTAGTTTAATTAAAAATACTTTGTGTGATTATTTGTATGAAATGAGATAATTCTAAAGATAATGTTCTGATTCGTGTATTTACCCGACATTTAGGATGCAACATTGTAAACTTTAATATGAATAAACAGTGAACAGTAAAGTTTTAACACCTTGCCGTAAACTTCTGGTTGGGACAACTGTTGGGAAGAACGAGGTGGCCATAATTACACAGGCAACCATGTGAACCATTCATAGCATAAACTATCAGAAGAGTTCCATTCTGGAAATGTAAAACTCATATCACGTGTGACAGATAGTAATAGTACGATTTGATCGCAGAATGTTGACATACAGTGTATTGCATCTGTTGTCATCTTTGAGACAAAGGTGTTACCAACCCCTCATCAGCTGAAGTTGTTCAGACATTGTGGAGGCAATACATTTCTTACTTTTTATCCCTTTTTGTAACGCCAGTCAATCAAGCTATAAAATTGCTCGTACCTGTCAGCCACATTCTCTGTCTATATTTCAAAACGCAATACAGCATGTGCTTTTTACCACATAAATATTGTCATGATCTATTGCCTCTGGTTTTTCAAGTGTGCATCATCACTTATTCATGATTATTGAAAGAACACTTTGCTTGAACATTTAGCACAGTTACAGTCATGGAATTTTCATTCCAACGTTCTAAATGACAACAACCTGATGACCATTGCTGAAGACGCACAGTCACTTTACATTAGAGACTTCCACAAAGTTCATAGATTGATAAAACATTCTTTAGGTACTTATATTGATAGAACATTTCATAGTTGCATTCATTGATAGACATTCTCACAGTACTTGACAGAAAATCGTGATTTATAGAACATTCTTAAGGTACATATATTGGTAGAACATGTCATAGTTGCATTCATTAATATACATTCACACAGTCCTTGATAGAACATTGACAAATGATTGGGGGCATCGGGAAATCACGTCACACATCGTACCCATGTGGGGAATCGAACCCGGGTCCTCGGCGTAAAGAGCCAACGATGTAATTACACCACACTGATATTTGAAAAGGGCATTCCTAAGAAGCATACGTTTGTATTACATGCATATGGCGCACACATTTGTAGTGCCCCCTTTAAGTGTTCATTGAAAGACGTCATCTTTCGCTAAACCTTCAATATCGAGATAACCAGACTCACCTTGACAACGAAGTTCAGGTAGGATCAATATGTAAACGAGTTTGGTCTGGTGTAGTCTACGTCGACAGCAAACCAACGTTATCAACACCAACCCCTAAAAAATCGACATGTGTGTTATCTGGTGTTATTTGGCATATATATGATGGTGGCAGCTCGGCATGGCCGATAACGAGAGAACAGGTCAAGGTGACCAGTCATGCGACGTGTTTACAAGACGTTTCGTTTACGTGCATGTAAGACTACCCTCTTTTGATGATGAACATAAACTTTGTTTTTAACACGTAAAACGTCAAATCAGCCCAAAGACAAAAACATAGAATAAAAGTTATGTAATGAAAACAACCAAATCTTTTCTTAACAAATATCCCTGATCTTTGAATATATAGTGAGTGAGTATTTTTATACGCAGTATTTGAACATACAGCATTATCTTATATTGAGTTGGATACATCATGAATAGACCAAACGAATACAAGCTTATCGAATATTTACAAAAAAAACAGGGGATGCCTTAAATGAACAACGGTCTCCGCAGATGACACACAACAGTCAATTCCCAGAATGTTGTGTCCGTATCCACATATAAACATTGAGTGTTGGGAGGGGTTGGGGTCGGGGACGGGGAAGGGGTGTCAATTGTGATCAAAAATAAAAAACAGGGTCCATTTATAAGATTCGAATGACGTGTAATAATAAAACCATAATCAATGCCCTCTGAAAATTGTACTACAGCTTACGGAGAGTAAACTGAAAAAGAAGTCCCGTTGACATTGAATATGCCACAGATATGAGAACACACACGTGGAAAAGATGTGAGAACATACTAACAGTAAATGCCACAAAACTGAAAAAAAACATTTGAGGAGAAATTTGACAAGATTTGCAAAACAGATACGAGACATATGTGAATATTCACTTGGGAACCCACGTTATTACATACTCGAGAATATTGCGAACATACTCACGAAATAATTGGCACTATATCAAACTTTGTTGCTGTAAATGTGAAAATCATGCTTGCATGTCTTCAGATAACAGAAATCCCTCTCCCGGTGTCAGCGTAGCATTGTCATGTCAGCGATCTAGCAATGCTTTCTTTACCAGTGGCAACACATGTCGCTGTGTTTTTGTGGTAAAGTAAACGGAGAGTTTCGCTTAAAAGCTTGTATTAGTTCCAATATAAATATAAATGAGAAAACTCGAAAACTTGAGATATGCAATGCTTGAAGCTTTGCTCTTTATTTAAACAGAAGTTAACATTATGTTAACATCAATCTGTTTACTTTTTATAATAGACTTTAAACACATACACAGAGCCACACATGTCCGAATCAATGTAGAATGTAATCTCGGTTTGCATGTATTTACAATCTCGGAATATAAAATGTATCTGGAGGCATTTAGTTTGTGTTCAGGTATGTCTGTGCTTCAAGTTACAAACGCAACATGGCTGATTGAAGGAGGGAAAATTCTCCCTACTTCAAACGTGTTCTACATTAAGATAACATTTATGAAGCCATATAACAGTCTGAAACCTCTTAGGCTTGATTGAACAGAAGTATGATGTACTTAGGTACTCCACGACATCTTCAAGAACATCAGCCTGTTGTCAATGGGAAATAATCATGTAACACATAATTTGTTCTTGTGAGATACACAGAAATGCATACCAAAAATATATTGGTGCGTTCCCGTGAAGTATTGTTTGTTTGTTTGTTGTTTAACGCCGCACTCAGCAATATTCCAGCTATATGACGGCTGTCTTTAAATAATCGAGTCTGCATCAGACAATACAGTGATTGATGTGATGAGCATCGATCCACGCAATTGGGACACGATGACATGCATCATCGAAGTCATCGAGCCTGACCACCCGACACCGTTAGTCGCCTCTTACGACAAGCATAGCCCGTGAAGTAGTTATTGTCTCATATATAAAGGAACGAACGTTGTCAGATTAGTGGGTAAGTATTATTTTTACGATACTTAGCAAGTATCATCCCGGTTGGGACACCAAAGTTGAGGAAATAGAACCGGCTCTCCTGTTTAGTGATTGAAGGCGTCAACCACTGAGCTACTTATACATGACGCTGGAATATTGTTGCGTGCGGCGTTAAACAATAAACACACACTACAGTGATGCAATTCCATTCTGTACTTTAACATATCTGTATATCTACAAACGTCTAAATAACTTTTACATTTCATAGAAAGGGCACAATTATGTATTGTACAGGTACTTATAATCAGGGACATCTTCCGTCATCCAGCCTCTCCTCGGAAGCACGTTCATTAAGCTAAGGGGCGGTCGGGTAGCCTAGAGGTTAAAGCGTTCGCTCGTCACGCCGAGGACCCGGGTTCGATTCCCGACATGGGTACAATGTGTGAAGCCCATTTCTGGTGTCCCCCGCCGTGATATTTCTGGAATATTGCTAAAAGCGGCGTAAAACCATACTCACTCAATCAATCATTAAGCTAATGCAGCTTCCCTACCCTTGCAAAAAGAATCGTGTGTTTCTTCCACCAAAACTGTACACTAATCGACCACAGTGTACAGGATTTGTGATACCATTCTCCTCGAACAAATACAACACTTCCTAATCATGAATTAGTAGGGTTAAAGTCTATGACATCAATTAAAGATTCCACCCTCTCAAAAGCAACAGTGATTATTCAAAGGTCTTCTCTGGTTACTAATATGCCCTGTTGTTATGAAATGTCCATCAGTGTCTGCGCTGGCTTAGGGGCTAGATTAGTTGGATGATAACATCATTATGTTTATTCATAAGGTATCAAAATTTATCTCGGAGTTTTGAACGTTACGTAAGTTAGCATGCATTGTTTCCACATCAATCAACAAGATGGATATCTCCAGTCAACGACACTGTCATTTTCTCTTTGATCGTGATCTTAAAATAGGGGTTACAACGTCATGAAGGAATATAACGGTAGTATTAAGGGAGTGAGAAGTAATAACTTACTTTCACGACATTTTCAGTGAAGTAGTGGGACGTTTATCCTCCATACTCTGTCGAAAGGGTAAAGGGTACAATAAAAACATAAACATAAGGTTCGGCATTCCATGTTTCAGGTAAGAGTTATGTTGACAATTCATTTTTACGAATCCGAAAATGTTTTCAAACTGATTGTTTTCAACGTTTGGAATATTGTTTGCATTACTTTACATATTACGATAATTAGAGAAAATATTTCGATAATTAGGCGTTATCTTAGCCTTTATATATATTTTGCATGGTGAATAATTATAAGATCAAGTAACACTGACGTACATTGTTAACTAAAACGTGATTGAGGCTAAACTTGAGCGTTAAGGTTAATTGACTAACTTGAGTTCATAATGTAATATTTCAATAATTAGGCATTATGGAAGCATAAATACATATTTTCCATGGCGAATAATTATAAGAACAAGTAACACTGACGTACGTTGATACCTAAATCGTGATTGAGGTCAAGCTTAAGCGTTAAGGTTAATTGACTAACTTGAGTTCATATGTGTATGTACGTATTGAGTCATAGTTCTATTGGTACATCACATATACAAAGGATATAAACGCGAGACTCTCTGCAATGCCCTCGCTAAACAACTTCGAAAATAGAAAATAATTCCCGTACCGAAAGGAGCGAATAACAACACTGTACCAACGTGTGTTTAGGTATTTAAGACAATACGTAAGGTCTACTTTATCATCACAGAGATCTTAAGGATGAGACAGGGAATTGTGCCTATTTCACATGTAACACATCAAGATCAAATGTCCAGTATAAACTCCATTTCTAAGTTTTCAACAGAGGAGCGTGTTTTTCATGAATGAAGGTATCGGTTTACATGCATACTGTGTACGGATACGACAAAAGGTATCGATGGCCAGTTGAAGGAAGCACGATATATATATATATATACGGTTATATTGTACATTTCAAACTATGACATAAATGGCATAAAGACGATATTGCATCATCCAATGATGTGATGTGTGTCTGTCATCGAACGGACCATGTGCCATAAAACGATAACAAGGGACAAGTATCATCGATGTCATAGTGCTTATCTGGCAATGATACATCACAGTGTTTGCCAAAGAAGGATCATCAGAGAACAGTCACTCGTCGATGTCATGATGCTTATTGAACAAATCTGGCAATGATACATCACAGTGTTTGCCAAAGAAGAATCATCAGAGGAGTGTCACCCATCGATGCCATGATGCCTATTGAACAATTCTGGCAATGATACATCACAGTGTTTGCCAAAGAAAGATGATCAGAGAACAGTAACCCATCGATGCCATGATGCCTATTGAACAATTCTGGCAATGATACATCACAGTGTTTGCCAAAGAAGGATCATCAGAGGACAGTCACCCATCGATGCCATGATGCCAATTGAACAATTCTGGCAATGATACATCACAGTGTTTGCCAAAGAAAGATGATCAGAGAACAGTCACCCATCGATGCCATGATGCCTATTGAACAATTCTGGCAATGATACATCACAGTGTTTGCCAAGGAAAGATGATCAGAGGACAGTCACCCATCGATGTCATGATGCTTATTGAACAATTCTGGCAATGATACATCACAGTGTTTGCCAAAGAAGGATCATCAGAGGACAGTCACCCATCGATGTCATGATGCTTATTGAACAATTCTGGCAATGATACATCACAGTGTTTGCCAAAGAAGGATCATCAGAGGACAGTCACCCATCGATGTCATGGTGCTTATTAAACAATTCTGGCAATGATACATCACAGTGTTTGCCATAGAAGGATCATCAGAGAACAGTCACACATCGATGTCATGATGCTTATTGAACAATTCTGGCAATGATACATCACAGTGTTTGCCATAGAAGAATCATCAGAGAACAGTCATCCATCGATGTCATGATGCTTATTAAACAATTCTGGCAATGATACATCACAGTGTTTGCCATAGAAGAGTCATCAGAGAACAGTCACACATCGATGTCATGATGCTTATTGAACAATTCTGGCAATGATACATCACAGTGTTTGCCATAGAAGGATCATCAGAGAACAGTCACCCATCGATGTCATGATGGTAATTGAACAATTCTGGCAATGATACATCACAGTGTTTGCTATCGAAGGA